TGGATTTATTCCCAACAGTAAAACATAGAGGCTTCCGTTGTTTGGTCCATACTGAAATATCTCAACAACCATTGGATGAATTCCCACGAACACAAGCACAGAAATGTGGATTCATCTGTTGTTTTTGCTCACTAATTATGTTACAGTTCAGATAGTAGGCCTGTCCGAGATGAGCTGCGCCTCGCCTGGAAAGCAGATGAGAGCTGGTGGCGATCAAGTCTGACGGTTTTTTAGCTGCCTTCAAAGAATACACCGGAAGTCACAGAAACAGTTACTTCCTGTTAGATCCAATCTGTAGGCTACTTGTAGTTTGCAGACCTCGTTTGGATTTTTTCATGTGTGTTAAATAGATAAGCTTTATTATCATCAATCACACAAGATATGTCTTTAGATTAAACCTTCATTGCACAACATGAGACTAATAACCCACAATCTAGCGTTAAGTAATTTCACAGAGAATATAGGACTTTCTGCAAAACCTGGTGTTCGTCGTCAAATCTAGGAGCCGATCAGCTCTTTGATCTGGCATTTCCCATCATGCCCTGGGGTCATGCAGTCGGCGGAGAGCAACTGCGGCGCCTGGTTCTAAAAACTGCGGCCGCTTCGGTCTCGTGAGGTTATCGTTGACCATGCGTTCATGACGTCAGAGCAAGTCTCTCACAGATGATTTCAATGTTTCTAAGGTAACAACCTTAAAAACTGTGTCATCACAGATGATGCTCCTTGACGTCAAAGATGTGACATTGTCTGTGATTTCATGGAACTTATCTCCACTTTTAGTTTTAGTGGGGAGTCACTCATAAAAACATGATCTATTTCCATAAGAGAGTCAAGCTGTAAACTCTGAAAATCACCAGCTAACAACTGGAAAATAAATGTTGGTTCTACTGCACCTCTTAGTTATTAGGCTACATCGGCCTTTACCTCTGGGAGTGTAACCTTTGCTACTATGTCTTGCATCATCCGCTTCTTTCCACTGATCAGTCTTTGCCTGCACCGTCACTGTCATATCAGCTGTCATCCATGGCTTGCAGTTTGACAATCTTTGTAAATATTGTCTGTTTCTTCTGCATAATGTATATGGAGTCACTGGTGTGACTATTGCTTCAAAGGATGGATTGAAATCTTCCAGTGGATAAGGGTGAGAGGAAAGACCAGCAGAGATGCTGATCAACAAAGACCCTTGAGCAAAGCACTGAATCCCAACTACTGCCATGGAGCAGCTCAGGCTGTGCTCCCACAGAGCAGCCCTTTCATCTGCGCACAAGTCCAGAAAACCAAAAAGAGACTCCATCCACAATCACGTGAAATGAGAAGAGCACAAAAACCCAGGGGTCTAGGAAATAGAATGCAGAGAATTCTTGGTATGTTTACCATTAAAACAACAACAACAATGTCCTCTATCAATGCTGTTTTAACCTCTTAAGCTCTAGCCCTATTTGTAGGCCTCTGCTCGAAAATTGCATACCCATACTAAGGAGACCACAGTTCTGTAACTACAAGGTATATTTTAATAATTTTTGATGCTATAATCAGATAACACTTGTGAGATTTATTCAGATGTTCATCACATAGGGAAGTCTGGTATTTTATAATCAATGAGTTAATTCAGATTTCTGTCTATCTTCAGCAGATGTAAATATTGCTCTGGCCAAGAGTCCGTTGTATGGAAGCACATTTCTGACAAATTTAATTTAATTTCTTTAATGTATTTATTGCATTTTTTCAGCTGTATTTCTTTTATAAATGGTAAAGAGTTTTACAATCTTGATCTGTTGAACCTTTAGTGTTTATCACTCGAGATTTGTACTTTTGTGTAAGTGCCAGTGCCATTTTTGTACCTTTGGTTCTGGGCAGCTTTACACTTTTTTCAGAACTTAGAGTACCGTGTATGTGCATTAAGATTAAAATGTGCTAAACAAAGGCAAATGCACAGAAAGTTGCCAAAAATAAACTGAAAGCAAAATTAACGATTTAGTAAGTCGAAAATGTCAAATCTTTTTTTGCTTAAAAATAAGCTTCCATATTCTAGAGAATTGTCGAGAGAGTTTTTAACGGCCAAATCTTCCAAGTATATTTTAAACTGCTCTAACAGGTGAGAAGGTCACGTGTCAATTGTTGCAATCTGGATTTGAATTGGCTGGGGACCAAAGACCAGAGAAGAGGGACGACATGAAGGAGAGGCGGGACATGCCTGCCTGCACATCAGTATTGAAAATAACACCCTTTCATCTTCAACAATTTGGACACAGTATTAAGGAAATTTCCTAATAATGTCACCACAGTTGTGAGACATCCCTGCAGCTCCCCCAAAGCCTGCTGTATTACAGGGTACTTTAATGCAGTTCATCTTGTGTGGCACTGGCTTTAGAACATGCTTGTGGTCAATCATCCATCATCACAAGTAGGTTGCAAATATTGATCGCTTCAATATGGAAGCAGGATACGTGGGACCGTGAAATGCCCGATTGGAGAGAAAGAGAGTGAAGACAGGAAATCCTGGTTAGGTTTCAAAGCTGCTTTCTTTCTGTTGTACTTTTGTCAGGACCCAGACACATACGTGAGTTACCATGCACACATAGTTTACATTTTCATTCCTTTTCCCTCTATTATCCTTGCTTTCCAACCTTGCAATGCATTGTACAAAGAGAGAACAACTAATCTCAGTGGAGTTTAAACTGAAAAAGAAATCCATAGTCCATAGTCAATCCATAATAAAACTAAGAATTGTGAATACCACTTTCAAAAGTATATTCACATGAACTCACTGTTTTTCCCACTGCTCCATTTTATCCTTCCACCGCATCTTCCACCAGACATAAACTACATCTACATCTTATCACGACAAACAAAGACCCTGTGGGAAACACTGTTTAGTTTAAAACTTCTGTGAATTATACTCATAATGTGTTTTTGTGTTGTTCAAGGAGATATCTTCTCCCTACTGAAAGTAAGGCGCATGGCAACATGTTCAGAGCGCTGGCCGATGCACTGTTTCTAATGTCAGGGGATGTTGTATAAAATCTGCCATGGAATCTGGATTTGTGTGGAGATATAAATTCAACCCTGTCTCCTAAACATTACTTTCCCGTTTAACTAAACTGTAATGTCAATTAAGCTTATAGCGGGAAACCTTTTGCACGTGCCTAACGTTGTGAATTGAAACAAACTAGAAACAAAAACGCAACAAAATTGCTTTATGTTTACGCAACCAAACTACAGTTACGTTTCGTAAAAGATCAGTTTGGCTTAAAATAAGTACGTATACGTTCAGAGTGTAAATTATACAATGACAATCGAGGGTGGAATTTTGTGTATTATGGACGTGATCTTTATCCCTGGCAAAGGCACAAAGTTAATGAACGGTTCTGATTCTGATTCTATAAAATAAAACAATTTAACTTCAAAAAGGATGCTAGTAGTGATGGAATGCTATTTCTCGCCTCACTGAACAAACTTTTTACTCATTTTACTCCCGGAGATTTGGAGGGAATGCATCATCTGTGAGGATGAATAGTTGGATTTCACCTCATACTGTGCGGTGCTAAATGGAGCACAAGAAGAGGTGGAGAGAGTCCTATCCAGAACCCAATCACACCATCAATCAAAGTACTTCCAATTCCCATTATCATTTTTGTAACAACAACACAGAGCATAGTTGCTTTTCCCAAAAATAGACTTTAATAAAGACATTTACGTTACCGGCGTGCATCTATGACAAGTCTTGACGTTCCTTTGTGAGTACAACACGACAAACAAGTGGAGCGGCTTGATATTCAGGGTTGGGAGATGAGAAATAGGAGCTTTAACCCATCTATACATGCTGGAAGTGTTCCCTCCCCTTATCAGCATGCACTGTAGTCGGTAATCCTTGCACCAAAATGTAACACTGGCAGGTTTGTTTGATTTATATCCTGTCTGATTACATTACAGTCATTTAGCAGACGCTTTTATCCAAAGTGACTTACAATTCAGTGTCTATCACATTTCTACACCGTAGGCACAACTACGGGAGCAATTTTGGGGTTAAGTGTCTTGCTCACACATCAACATGTGACTAGCGGAGCCGGGGTTCAAACCGCCGACCCTCTGATTGAAAGGCGGCCCTGCTATCCAGTTAGCCACAATCTCCCCCTTGATGTTCAAGGGAAAGTCACTATTTCCAAAAGCCCCTAAAGTGCTTACCTTCTTTATCTTGGCCTGTATATGGGACTGTGTGTGTGTGTGTGTGTGTGTGTGTGTGTGTGTGTGTGTGTGTGTATGTAGGTGTGTGTGTGTCTAAGTAGTCGGGAGGGTTCGGATAGGTGAAATTAATTGGCTCTGAGTGCCGAAGACAGTGTGTGTCGATAGCATGAGTTGCTGACCAGTTGTGATATTGATGCATGGCTGTTAGCTAGTGCTGTGGTTGGTGGTTTTCCATCGCGATGTGGTCTTCTCATCCACAAATGAGCAACCAAAAATGTTCAGGCCACAGCACACACACACACATATACAAAACATCTTTTGCTGCTGGATTCTCCTCTTAGACTTGGCACTATCTTGTAACTGTTTTATTTGTTAAACCAGTGTATTACTACACACTGAAAGCTGAGCCATGACGTGATGGACAGGGTGCTCAGAGCATTCCCAGCTTTTTCTTCCCTGGCTTCGTGATGCTGCTTGGTTTTTCCGGATGAAGCCCCTGGCTCACTGGGAGATCTGCAACCACAAGACTGCTTACCTGAGCTCATGTCCACGCATTAATATACTTTAAAAGATCGGAACTATCCCTGCAAAAAGTATTGTCGGACATTTACGACATGACACTTGTTATTTGACCTTACCGCAGACGTGCAAACAATTCGAGGCATCGATCATTGTCACTTTTACGTTTGGTCCTTTTTCTTGTCTGATAATGCCCCAAAAAGGTCAGAGAATATAATTAAAGAGGGAAAACATTGTCAAACAATATGGCTATAGGCCTTACTGGAAATTAGCAATGACGCACAAATACACGAGTGTTTTTTTCTTTTACTTTTGCAAACAGTAACACGAAATTGTGACAGACCTGGGATATGGCTTGAACATTTACACAGCAATAGGCCCTTTTTACAGCAGTTATTTCCACTTCATTGCAGTGTAAACACAGGTGTAATAGATCAAATGAATCATAGTCCCATTCTATTTGGTGTGTCACAGCGAGGCACTCCAGTGAGTCCACATGCACAATACCACCGCCCTGGCCCACCTAAATGGAACAGGGCTATAATTAATGTTATTAACTATATCGATGGTTCCCCTGCAATGACAAGTCAAAATGGCTGCTGTGAAAAGAAACTATCAATTAAGTATTTCCTGTTGAAACATTTGTATAATTACCATAAAAGGAGGCAATCTATGAGAAAATTGCAAATATCTACTGGCAACCAAAACACATGTTTCTCTTGTTTGCCATATATTTGGATTGCTTTAGCCATAAAATCTTATTTAGCCTATAAAACAAAAAACACTGCATTAATCAATTTGGCAAAGAATTGCTAAAAAACAAGCTAGCAGATACACAGCAACTACCATATTGCACTGTGACAGTTAGTGTGTTAGCAAACAGCCTATTTGCACTCAAAGACATGATGGGACATTGGCATTCGTTTGAAATTGTGTTTCTGGCCGGCTCATTCATTTAAGTTCAAAATTCATTGGTGGTGGGAAAAAATATCTGTGTCTTCTGGGTAAGTGTTCAATGTTCTTTGCTAGCGTGTCGCCAGCTTTGTCTGTCCATTTGCTGCTGGGCATGTAACACACAGTTGGCTTACAGAAGCATTTTTTGGCTGAAAACAGCTAACTGCTGCTTAAATAGACAGCAGTGATACTGAACCATACAGTAAGTGTGTAACCAAAATGATAAATTTTTTAACTCCTTTAAAAAGGATATAGCTGCTCATTTTAGCGCTGTGAGTAACTCTTTCACAATACAGAGGCATTTTGTCAATTCCTAACAAAAACATATTGATTAATGCAGGTTTAAGTTCCATAAAGGTTTAAAAACTGTAGTTTTCATAGTAAACAAGGTTCATGGAAAATGTGTTCTTGATTGTAAAAACTGGTGTCGGATGTTGGGTGACCTGCCAGTAGTCTTCACCACAGTCTCATGTTGTTATGGTAATTATATCAAGGCATCACAATTCATTTGGCACATATGTATTGACTCTTAAAGATGCAACGTTTTTCTCCTCCCAGACTGGCCGTACAACAGCGTTCTCACTCCCAACTCGTCAAATACAGCAGCTTGGTCAGTGGCCCTGCGCTTCAAACGATGACACTCCAGGTACTCCTCGAGCGACGAGCATGAAACCTTTTTCACAACTTCGTTAAGTTCAGCCAAACAAACTACTTTCTATATTTGTTGCGTAGTTACGTAGACTACGTTACTCTCGTGACGTAGTAACGTTTGGTAGCCTGTTAAGTAGGCTTCATTGTGTATGCGACGTTGTCACTTTAAATAAGTCAACGTTGACTTTCGATTTCACACGGGACATGAACGTCTCCTGACAACCACCCCAAGCGGAATTTCCTCCTTTACTCCCGCCATAACCACGGCCACATAGAGCATTTTAGTTTGAGGCATAAGGCCACTGACCAAGCGGTTGAACAAGTCGGGAGTGAGATCGGGAACACACACACTCAGTACATTGCAAACAAGACGTTTTTAACATGGTGAATCACTGTGCAGCACAGAGAATACAACAGTATTTTGACAAATATACAGTAACAGTGAACAAACATGCACCACAAAGTCAAGTAGAAGACAATTTAACGCACTACATCTACTGTCGCTAACGCTGAAGTGTTCAACTGTGTGACAGTAGTTAGCTTTAATATTGCTGTAGACCTTGTGCTTATGATGACAATATTCATTGCTTTTGTACATGGCTGCTTAGCTAAGCCACTCTTGTGCTCGGATATTTATCACAGTGCCTTTAGAGAGCGTATCATGATACAGGCAGTGAACTGCAATCTGTGTGTGTGTGTGTGTGTGTTTGTATGCATACATGTGTGTGTTGCTTATAGCTGTGTGCATGTGTGTGTGCTTGTTGATCCCCTGCTGAACCTTCATAAATATGTTGTCCTACTCCATCTGCAGCAGAGGTAAACAGGAGACTGGCATCTCCAAGTCCCATTGACTATCTACACTAAAAGATGAAAGCTTTGACCCAAACTATGAACTAAAGTAAAAGCATCCAAATTCAGAAGTCTGCTCCGTCCTCTTGACGAGCGGAGATGAATGAAGACGCGCTGCCAAAGCAAAGTACTGAAAAGGCATAGAAGAACAACGCTTTCTCTACAGGCACCATCACAGGGCTTCAAAGGAGAAGGCGAGGACGGGATGAAAGGCTGGATGCATTGTGGCGTCTGAAAAACTGGCTGGCCCTCAACTAATTTATGTCAAGGTTTGCGTTTTCAGCAGTCTCTTTTTTTTCTCACCGGGACATAAAGGTAGAGCTATCAAGTTGAATCAAGTGCCCTCTAATGTGAGGTGTTTCAATGATAGTCAAGAGAACATCCAAGATAGTCTCCAACAACTGGACAGACCGTCCGGCGTGGAAATATTTACAAGGTGTGTAGCGGGTCATTTCTTTCTGTACGGTTCCTTCTTGCACCCTCTGTTGTGCTTCTTTTTAATCAAATATTGAACAAACTAACGAAACACGGTGGGTCACAAAACCTTTTCTCTAGTACTTGATGTTTTGTGCCTGTAATTAATTAATTGAAAAGTGACATTTTTTTTTCATCAATCATGAAGCCCAAAAAATTAACATTTATCGCTCATCGCTGTCCAAATCGTTTTTTGAAAGGCGCTGCATCTCAATTACAGAGGGTTATCACGGGCTGTGGGGGTCAGAGGATAGTGAGAGGACACCTATTGGGATGCATTTTCTTCCTGTTACATTGGACACACTTTGTTCTCTGGGATGGGCAGCTGGGAAAACGAGCCACCGTCGGTTGGAGAATCGTCAGACCTGGGCGACATAGTGCCACTCATGGGGATGCGGGTCGCAATGACTGACATTTCTCCCGTTTGAATCTCTGCAGTAATTCCCGGTCGCTCTGAGGTCTGGTTCAGGTTGTCTGGGATGATCCCTGTGCCGCCGAAAAGCTGGATTAGGCACTTCCTGAACTGAACAGAAAACGAGAGAATTAAAAGCGATTAGCTTGATTAACAATATTTGCAATCACATTGTATTGGGGGCCATATTTACAGGACATGAAAAAGTTCTGTAAAGGAATAATGCGACATTTTGGGAAATGAGGAGATGATACTCTATTACTAGAGCATAGTGTGAAACTACTCTGTTACAAGTAAAAGTTCTGCATTTAAAATGTAAAAAAAAGGACAAAAGTATTGGCATCAAAATACACTTAACTAAAAGTAGACTGATATATTTACGGTAGGTTTATATCATTGGACTTTTTATGCACATTTTGTGAAATTAAAAGTACAATATTTCCGTCTGAGATGAAGTGTAAGTATAAAGTTACATAAAATAGAAATTCTCGAGTACCTAAAAATTGCATTCAAGTACAGTACTTTAGTAGCCTGAATGTACTTAGTTCTTCCTAGATCTAGCCTCTTAATTTTGATTTCAAAGTGCACCATATTGATGCATTTAACTTTAAAACGGGACTCGCTAATAGCCCCAATCATTGGTTTCCACATTACTTTAAATCTAAAAACACTAATTGACCTTTTAACAGTCGAAGCGCCCACTCTGTGAAGCCCCGGGGAGAGCTCGTGATTCCTGACCCTTAATGACCTGTCTGATTTAACACACAAGCCTCCTAACTGCTCCCCTCAAACCAGTGCTCTCAAAGAGATGCAATACCTCTGCTCCCCTGCAATGTCATTAAAAAAAGCAAAAGGCTACAATATCTACGGCTTCGTTCACTGGGGTTTGTTCACAAATGGGCTGTCTAACCTCTTATACCTATGTATAACTACACCCTCCAACCTTGCAATAAATAGATTTTAAAACCCTCCCGCACAGGAAGTAAGGTCATAAAATGTCAACTTAACGGCAACATGAATAGTCTGAAACGCATAGTCTATCCCAGAACATCGACAGCAAGCAATGTAAAGCTGAATTCTAAAAAGTCACAGGAGCGATGACACCAATTGCAATCATGGCTAAAAGGCCTGCGTCGTTAATTATATTGCTGCAATACCACGATAATTGTCAGCATCCTGTACTAGAACAATGGATATTGCCAAAATAACAAACTGTTATGTTTTATTTATTCTTCAATTGGACCAAAACATCTTCAAATAGAGGATTCACAGTTTTTTAGACTGTCAAAGGCTAGAGGGGGAAAAAAATAAAAAAATTCACTGCACTTTAATGAGACAATGCTGGTGCAGAAACTTGCATAGATAATATTTGGTGTCAGGTCATATGGTCAGGTAAATTCATACCTTACACTTGCGTTCATAGATTTGTTTGACCACTTGAGGGCAGCACCACAAGCTGTTAAACAAAACATCTAACATACAGTGTGACCTTATAAAGTTGTATTGCTTACTTGCAACAGACATGTAGCAAAATCAGCATGGCTACGTAGTCGTGTCCCGATCCACCTGGGCCATGTAAGTCCAATATTCACTCTCCTTTTAGGTCTGTTTTGGACTCCAAAAGTTCCTGCGGGTAATGTCTTTTTTTTGAAGCTGCTAAATGCTCCACTTTATACACCAGCTACTTGCTAACTTTGTCTGTCTGCTGTTTGGTGCTGTGTAGCTGCATTTGTGACCTCAGCACTCTGTATTATACTTTGCATAAACTTTATGTTTATTTCTTTACCCACGAAATGTTTGCCTCGGGCAAAACTATTTTCACCGGCCTGCCACAGTTAGCAGAGAAGAAATATTGGGCGGGAAGGGCACAGTCTGTTTTTACGTTACGTTGTACTGTCGGGCAGACACTATAAATCTGTGGGATCATGAAAATACCTTCGATGCTGCAACCTGCTGCTGGATAACAGTGAAGAAAAATGCTGCTTTGCTGTTTTCTTAAGGTTTGTAAGCGGGACACTGTGATCAAATCATCGATTAACGTAGGGAGTGCTCTTGCCACAAATTAGGTGCTAGGCATATAGCACAGTGTATGTATCTTTTTCATTGAAACAAAGCGGCCTGCTACGATTGGATATGAGGCTGGTGCAAGTGGATGAACAGTTCTGATGAACAGTTCTGAGCCATAAAACCCAAACAATGAGTTGAGACACTAAAACACTGTAGAGCTGAGGGGAACTCTATATTCACGTGGTAATTTGTTGTGGGTTCGTCACTATGAGCGACACTTCACATTGCACAGTAATGTGCAATGTGAAGTGTCGCATTCGTTCTTAATATAAAGATAATAATTAATGCATCTTTAAGATTCTTTCTGGACTACAAATCCACTTCATACTGTAGTTCCGAAGCGTCAAAAACTTTCTAGGTCTTTGTTGTTGTTTTTTGGGGGGGTATTGCAGCTCTGCAGGTTGATCGAGTGCAGTTGAGGATAACAACGTATCTCTAGACTGCTATTGTTTGGCTGAATTCAGTTGTCAGCAATTACGGCGGCGTCACTTTGCTTCACATATGTATTGAATTAAATTCCATACCTTCTAACAGTTCAAAGAGTACGGTGTGCCAATATTGTACCTTTTCATCTTGTGATTAAAAGGTACATTGAGGTCGTAATGTTGTGAGTCCATGGGTGCTTTCAGCCAGTGAACTCTCTAACAGCCTCACTTTTCACACAGCGGTCCTCACACAGTAAGCTCAACAATGGTCTTAACGCTGCAGCCCTGTTGAAAAGGCCTGTATTCACCACAATATGTGATCCATTCGTGACCCCAGAAGGCACGAGTTTGATTTCCTGACAAAAGCCCTTTGAACACAGTCTGTTGAATGCGTCATTCCGCCTCGCTAGCAGCAGTTAGCAGCCAACCTACAGCAAATGGCATTGAATTGGCAGAGACAACAAGGTCCAGGAGCTGCTGGAGTTTGATTTATTATAATAAACTAGCACCATCAATTATATCTAAATGTTTAACTATATCTAAATGTGTAAAACTCACATATATGACATCAGCATACTGAAAAGTGTGAATATAGTGTGATTTGAATGGTTTAACATATAAGCTGTTTGATGTAGTAAGGATTTGTTTGTTTCTTAAACACCCTCCAGTAGGTGTGGGGAAAGCTGCTCTGGGCCGGGGCTGGAGAAGTTTTTCAACTCCCATTAGAAAGATGTTATTTAGGGGGAGTTTGGCACACTGAGATTCCAATAAAATTATGTAAACTGGGTGTAATTCAAAAATATTGTCGTATACCAAGAAAACGGAGGATGAGCTTAGTGACCAAATGGCGATTTCAGCCACACTGTATAAGAATAAACTCTATTGCATCGAACTCTTGTCTGATTCCAGTTCTTTCTTCAAACATCATCGGGACACCAATAGGTATTAAGTGTAGAACAAGAATAGAGTTGGAGCAGTAGTTTAGACTTTATCAACTGGCTCAGTCTGAACTTCTGTTCTCCTGGGGTGGCATTATGCCGACGATGTTTGGTTCAGAAAAAGCAAAGCCTATTCAACGGCTGATCTCATTTTTGGCAGTATTGCGGAATGCGTGTGTGGCGGGGAATAAAATGTGGGCATGAAAAGTAAAAGAGTAACACTCTTCTAATGGAGATCGTGGATTTACTTTGGGATTGCTTTTGTGCTTCAGTCTTACAGAACTCAATCTAGGGCAGCAGCAGGATGAGGAGGAGAACGAAGTATACCTTCTCAAAAACTGATCGATAAAGTTTCCCTCTCACATCAAAGCCCTACTGGGCACAACACCGTACAGTATATCTTGTCAAAACAGTCCAGACTATATTTGATCAAAGAGTGTGAGCGTCTTGTGAAACCGATTTTAAATAATACCGGTAGACGTGAGAAATGGATATTTCCAGAATTTTCCTTCAACTTGGACCTTTTGACCGAAGAGATTCCAGGAGGCCGTCTCCTTCTAAAGCTGCTCCTCTATGTCGCAGTAGCCATGCATCATGGCACTCCCCTGCCGACTCGCCTCAACTTGTTATGTAACTCAGAGGAATGCGGAGACAGAGAGCGATGTCACAATCAAGCACTAAGAGGGCAGCTGACTTCTATAAAGCATTAGCAGTTTGGCGGAAGCTGCTAGCCGTCCCTATTTACGTCCAGTCGATGTCTTAGTGGAGACACCGGCTGACTCCACTAAGCAGCGAGAGCAGTTCAAAAGTGGGGCAATCAGATGGACATGCAGACTACATGCAGCTACCTGGCAAGGGAGGTCTGTTTTAAATGTTGTGCCAAGCACATACACGTATAGCAGGAATTCTATATCCATATCTGAAAATAGATCACTTTAAAGTTGTACTGAAGGCATATTTGGACATGTTTGTCATAACTGGCCTTGACAGTTTTAGTGTTCACTCTGCGGGCAGGACTATAAAGAATCTATCAATAAAAATGTTTAATGTCATGTACAATAACAACTTGCCTCTAATAACGGAGCCCCGGAGTGAAAACGGGGTTCAATACATGTTAACATGAAAAAGTCATTACTTAACGAGAGTTCAGTTTCGTATGACGGGTTTTAGAGCTTTGCAGTGGTGACTCCAAACTGCAGCAGGAGGTACAGAAAACTGATGTGACATCAGTAAATTGGACACAGCCTGCTCATGTTTACCGGAGAGATACAAAAGAAGTTGGCGAGTCCAGCATTCTAGGAGCAGTCAGCCCTGCAGGGCATCGGTGTTCTGCTCGAGGACACTGTTAAGTCTATTTCTGCACACAAGAACTGTTTTGCTGAAGAGAATGATGCCACTGTTTGCAAAAAGTTCCACTCTTACCATATTGATGCTTGAAAATGTTTTTTTTTATTTTCAACCATTGAACAGGCTGGCAAGCTTTTGATTACCATCACACCATTAAAGTCGTAACAAATGTGAGCCTTAACATGACATTTTCCCTTGTCGCCACAGAAATGCAACCCTGTGTTAAAGCTGCAGTTTACAGCACGTCATCAGCTTCTATGCAGGTTGATGGAAATGACGGTTGCCAGCGCAGCCATCGAGAAATCCAAACTGTAGCCTTTAGATTACTCTTTTGTCAGCGCTCACGAACACTTGAACTCCAGAGGCATACATAATAATGAAAAGGGAACATAATCAAAAGGCATTCACTTTTAAAATATTAGCAGCTGCATATGAAATCGACATGATTCGCGTTACGGCATGTTTCCGATAATCGCACACCATAGTCAAAATAGTGGAGAAGGGGAGACACGTCCAGCGTAGCATGTGGTTCTCCATCTGAATTTAATTGTAGTTAAATCTTAGCTGAATTTCAGGAGCAGGACCACGCCTCAGCCACTCGCCCACTTCCGGCCACTCTCCTACAAATACCTACCCACTCTAAGCCTCAGCTTGCTTGCGCTTTCCACATCCCACCCTCCCTCCCTCTTGTTAAACCATTTCACCCAAGGTTATCTCCCCCCATAGTCATCATCTTCCTATCCCACATGGAGACCGGGGGATCTGCAAGGCCCGGGAGCCACAGTGGATCCTCAACTAAGCCTCCCCCAAACCGCTACTGGCTAATCTCCACCAACCATTCCTCAATGCTCCAAATAATCGATGTAGGTTCGCCCTCGGCTGAGGTGGCATCCTAAGCTAGTGAATGACATTTATGCAATACAGAGACTATAAGATACATCCATCTTGTTGTGTTTTGTCTACTCAGACTCAAAAGTCTATGTGGGATAAATAGATCACGTGTGCACTCCGTTACTGATGACCTGTATGTGTTACACTACACAACATCAAACAATCCACTCATTGTGAATACCCAAAAAGTAGAAGCCTAAGTAATGATGAAGATTAGTTAGTCCATGTTACCACTGCCGGACCTTTTTAGCAAAGCTACCTTGAATAATGTATTTATTTAATTAAGTGTCCCGTCAGGCTGTCACATTTGTCACTTAAAAGGTTGTTAAATCTAGTAGATCTTTGGTGGAACATTAGAAATCACTCAGCAGTCATCAAGGGAGGCAAGTGTCAGCTCACAACTACAACTGAAAACTGTTCATTTGAAAAGATACGGGTTGTTTCACAGATAAACTGCCAAAAAATGGCAATGTGGCTCAAATGAGTAAAAGGAGAAATGCAAAACCAAACTGTCCACTACAGAGGACACAAATGAATAGGCTGGGTCTCAGGAGGATAATCTAACTATGACAATCTATCAAAATGGATGTTATGGACAGGCTTTTAAACTGAAATGCCTTTGTCATGTATTTAAGAACTGCCCCTAATCCCTATTTTCTATTGACTGCTGTCATATAATCAATATTTGTACAGTCAATAATAATTACCCAGAGAGACAGACTACACAATGTAAATGGCAGGAAAAAATTGCAAGCCTCATAAGCATGCCATAGGTTGCTAATGTATTTTTTAACAGAGCCATGGACAATTGTACTCTCTGGATTTCATCTTTCATTTATTCATACACCATGCATTATTGAGGGACAACAACAGAAAAAAAGCATCTCCGTATTATGCAGCAGCTTCCATCTACTGCATACAGTGACTTGTCTCAACTCTAGCAAAGGAAGGAACTCAGCTACCTTCCCTCTACACTGCGATAACTATTTTGATACTACTGCAAAAATACAAGCCAACGGGATCAAATTGGCTGAATCAACTATAGTATTCCTTTCCAGCATGAAAACTCTCAGTTACCTGTTTGTTCATGAAGACGTAGATTATTGGGTTGTAGACAGCAGCTGTCTTGGAGAAGAAGGCGGGGATGGAAGACAGCCTGGGGTCAAGTTCGATGGTTGGATGAGCTGTGACCAGTATGGCGAAGGCTGCGTACGGAGTCCAGCCCACCATGAATGCCACAATCATCACCACCACCATACGGGTCACCTGCCTCTCTGGCTTCCGGGCAGTGGCCAGTCGACCATGTGACACCTGGAGGAAACAGAGAACCATGACTAGCTGTACAGTACTTTGGTATATAACAGTCAGTTAGTCTATTAGGATATGAAAAAAAATGCTTTTTTCAAGGCTGATACTTTTACCGAATTGTTTTATCTTAATACTGCAATAGCTACGGAGGCCTGGAAGGGACACAGCCAGCGAACTCCACAGTCCAACTTTGCTCTCCTCATGGCCATGTAGTCTGCTAGCGGCTGACAGTGAGGCAGAGGGAACGTTGGAGTCTAAGTCTTGTCTCATGGTCTATTTAACAGTAAATTCATAAAATTCAGTGCCCCATATTGCTATTTTTTATTTTTTCCCTCCATGTCGTTTCCAGCGCCCCGTAAACAGCCAACATATCCAATTCAAATTGGACTCTTAACAGCATCAGTTTAGCCCTAATGACTTTCTGCTTTTCAAGCATGTCACCAGCCACTCTTATTCAATGGTAGGGAGTCCTCTAGATTGTAGAATCTACTTCCACTTACTGTGGGTGCATTTACGGAGAGTCACCAAAAATGGGCAGCAGGGCTTTCATTAAATAAAATGTGGCCATTTTGAATGTAACCTCCATGAAATAGTCATCGTGTCCCTCTTAATGTCCGTGGCCTTTAGAATGCTCTTTTGTCTCCATGCATGACAAATCAAAACAGAGTAAACTTACAGTTGAAGTAGAAGCATGTTTCTTTACACTATATCAACTGCAGCTACATTTCAAAACCACAATATTTCCATTACAGCATGTTTGCAACCGTAGTCAAAGAAGTGAGAAAGGGAAGAAGTGTGCCAGGAACATATGACCAAAAGGTTTTAAGGAACTTACATCAAATGTCAGCAGCTACAGTGGTACACTGGTCATTACCTGATATTTCCTGCATTCAAATCCCAAAATCAGGGTAATGTATTTTAAGAAAATTAGTGTAACTTGGATATAGATTGTTATGATTAGAATCCTTCCATCAGCACACGACTAAAATCTGATTCCTTCCCTATTTCCTTCTGTTTTGTCTGCTGATGTACCACAATTAAGCAATCACCCATCCATACCACAACCCCCTTGATATTTTTGATTGGTCTGAAGAAATAATTCCACATTTACGGAAATACATTTGAAAAAAATTCTAAACATGACTGAAAGTCGAGGGATGCATTTATAATGAATAATTTCGTTTAGAACTACCAACCTTCCTGAGTGTCCGCAGGAGCTTTCCATAGCAGAAAATGATTAACCCAAGAGGCAGAATGAAACAGGTGGCGAAGAACGTGAGGATGTAGCTGTGATCGATCAAGTTGGTTGAATACCTGTTCAGAGGTGGAGAACAAAGACGCTTACATTCACATCTTGTGAGATTTTAAATGGGTCAAAACCAGTATATTACAGTTTTTATCTAATAATGTTTTGCTTAAAATAAATACAAGGAACTATCAATAATAATAAATGTAGACCGATCATAGATCACAAGCCAAACCATTTGTTTGGGAAGACTTTTGCGTCCATTTAAGAACCAAATAGTTTACAATTCCGTGATTTCACAGCAACGAGCTGTCTGTGAAATGTTATTTTGACATTCAGAGACTTTTATCTGGCTGGAAAGAAAGATGACAGTTGTGCACTTCATTTGAGCTCCAGTTAAAAGGGAAATGTCACAGCTGAGACCAATCTCTGCAACACAATTAGGGTCCCGGAGGCCACTAATTCAGTCTAATTATGTCGTTTCCACACTGCCGTGAAATGAAACGAGCTCCGGATTAATGTGTAAGGAACTACCTGGCAGACAGAGTGGTTTGTTTGCATGTATTTGTACTCATGCATCCTACTCCTTATCAAACCAGGGAAGTGTGGTACACTTCTGCACACATTTGTGATGCATCAATTCACACCTCATTCCCTGTGAATGTATTGTCATGTGACACACATGCAAAGAAGTACTTCATCATGCATAAAGATGTGTTCCGTTCATTTAAATTGCTTTTTTGAACAAAACAAATCATTCAGGCTAGTGGACAGTGCTCTACTGTGGTTGAGACACACAGCGTAGTTGAGGGATTTTCACAGCTATATCTGCAAAAATAACTTGAGGCTCTGAAACTGTAATTATCTGAAATCCTTGAAATATGTTCTAGGACCCCTGTGCAGCTCTTGGGCCCCTTAATCATTCAAACTTTCACCCTTTATTCCTTACCCCTCAAGGCAGGACATGAAAATGTAATTTTCTATTTGTTTATCTTTCTTTTAATTGCACCCCTACAGATATTCATGCAACCTTTGGTTGTGCTCAAGTGGCTCCACCTGGACTCACCACATCTGCCCCCTATAGTTGTATTAAAACATAATCTACTCCTGTGTCCACCTTGTGCCATTATATGGGCACAAAAAAACAACTTGGAGGTGAGCCCCTTCAACTTGAAGGTCTTTGGCCTGTACGTGAACGTAGATGCATTTGTTCATTCAATTCAATAAGCAGTCAAATTCCCAATGTATGATTCAAAAGGTCTGACAAATCATCAGACTAAACCAATTGGTTCTCTTCGTCAAAACTGAAATGTATTAATTGACCCTTCACCTTGAAGCCCCGCTGCTACTCCGTCAAGCTGCTGGAGCTATGTTACCATGGAGCCCACACTGCCACTAACTGCACTCCCTAAATAAATATTATCAAATTTATATCGAAAGATACAAAAGCAATTGAAGAGACAGGCAGACATAAGGGTCTACGCATCTAGAATGTCAAACTGATTCAGCAGTGAAAACAGATTCAAAGATAAAGATATAAGCTAAAGCTACAGATCACAGTGTAAAAGTGAATCATCACATCACACTGTTCCTGTAAACGTCTTTATTCCCTGTTACAATCTTTAAAACGCTAAATTCGCATTTGTATACATTCAGTTTACCTTCAGCAGCCAGTGTAGAATAGATGCGGTAACGCTAGTTAATGATGTGATAATGTACTCTGCTCATGTTTTTTTCCGCAAAAGTTGTTTTTTGGGGGAATCTTCCTTTTCCGATGCGAGGGTCCTGGGACAGAGGGTGTCGTGTATTGTACTGATTGTATAGCACTCTGAGGCCAATTTGTGATTTTTGATTTTGGGCTATACAAATAAATTGAATCAGCTCCACGGGTTTTTACATTGAAACGTAACATTTTAAAAACCTATATCTCCCTCAAACCTCTCCGGGTAACTAGTATCATTATTACACAACATTCAAACCATTACTAGCTCCAAAATCTACAAAACCAGCCTGAACATTTTTTAAAAACCTGCAACGGTTGCATGAGAGTCTGTGGAGCAGCGCTGGATAGTTGTCAGACCCTGGTCGCAGCTGACCGATGCTACTCTATGATTGGTAAGTCTGCGTTCGAGGGGCGGGACTTAGCGATGTTCAATTGCTTGGATGAAGAGTTGATCCAGTTCCGAATTCGGATTCAGTTTCTCAAGCAGCTCCATTTCATTTGAGTTTTAGTGACTTAATAAGCAACTTTGGCATATCAGCCAGGCAGCATTTTAATCATCTCCAAGAGTGCTGTCGCCAGTCAAACCATCATTTTTGATGAGGTGTATCACATGAAGCGATCCAGTCAATTCTGTCAAACAATCCCAAAAATCAAGTTAGTTCAAATAATTATTCTTCCCACCACCAGCTGGTGTGCTCCGTCTCACCAACATCCTGCCTGACTGTCAGCATGAATCTCCTCATTTAAACTTGGGAGCTCACTTTTGCTTTTGAAAGTTGAGGCACTTTGAGTTTGTGAGAGGGTCTTCTTTGACACTACCTCTGGGAGACACTAAAATATGGAATGTTTAAATCCTACACATGGTAGCTTTAAAAAATGCTGACAGGTTTAATTTCTAACAAATATGTACTGTACAGTGATAATGACAAATGCACAAATAAACTAATATCTACTTAATTGCGTGCGTCTCATCAAGTCCACGTCCAGGGATTTGAGCTGGCAATCTCATCTGTGTGTGTCGGACCTGTGCACTGGAAGGGGTTTGGGAGAAAGTCAACAGCATAGCAGATGCAGTAGATTTCACCCAAACCTCTAATGAAGGATACAGCCACCTGACTCCTGCACACTCCTTCAAAACCTAGCATGAATGCTTTTTAACATTCTGAAGCTGTCCGGCGCTGAATATCTGCATGTACCCAGAGGTTAAAAAAAAAAAAAGAAAAGAAAAAAAGATGCACATAAATGAGGCTTTTAAAATGCATCAGCGCTGCGCATGTGGCGACACTCTGGACCTGGAACACCTGTGCTGTTCCTGCTGTTAACCAAATGTTTTCTGACAGAACTCATGCTGCGTGCAGCCAGAGGTGGAACGGGTCATCAACTCGCTGGGTATCTCCGTAAGGTGAGCTCTTAATTGTATTGTCTGAGCCATTCATTCCCCCCTTGCATTGAATCCCTTACAGGGCTTGAGGCAAACACTCAGGCCCCTATCTGCATGCCTTTGATCAAAGCAGCTAAATAACATTACCCAGATGGCACCCTGAGGGCTAAGGTAGAGCTGACCTGTTTCTTGACTTCTTCCGTCAGACACATTCGCACAGTGTGAGCTAATACCGCTGAAGCAGCCACGTAGATCAGAGTCACAGGGCTGAGTGTGGAATGTCTATAATCTCTATCTGTTTGAGTGCAAGGTGGGCAGTAAGACATAATTAATACAGGGTTATGTATGGGCTAAAGGTTATGGGCTAGCATAAGATTAAAGTGTTGTATTAAGGTCAGGATTAGGGGTTAGTTCAAAGCTCTTAAACTCTTCCCTCGAGAGTTTGTGAAGACCAAAACACATAAACGGGGAGTGAATGTTGGACTTACAAGCACATTCATCAGGTAGCAGGGAACACAAATGTAAAGACTAAAATGGCCACAGGAAGTCTGAGACTGGTGTGCCCTCCATTTTACAGACACCTGGCCCCACCACAACACCCCCGATCAAGTCACTGCGTTTGACAGACGGACAGCATTCCTGTGTCTATAACAATGATGCTGAACTGTATGAGGCCATCGGTGGTCACATGACAAAACAACATTTGTAGCTGGTAATTTTACCGAAACAGAACTCAAAATAGTTTTGCCTGAATCCCATCAGCATGTTCACACCACCACTAGGGAACACAGTACACTGGAACGTCTTTGCACAAATGTTCCTGGCAGCTACAAAGCCCTCCCCCCAAACCCCACTTTTTGACAATATATACCATATTTTGTTTCTGCTTCTCCTGCCAGCTTACTCCCAGCTGATTCAAAGGATCAACCCATCAGGTTGGACGGCGGAAGCTCAGCTTGAGTGCACAGACTGGCACATGTTCAGAGATGCCACCAACTGCGAGAACCACACCAGCCACATTGCATAATACATCAGCAGATGAGTTTATTTTCCAATAAGAAGTGTCAGGCTATTTAGTTTATGTAGCTTAACAAGGCTCGTTGCACCCGCCACAGTGTCCATTTTTTGTTAAATTGTCTGAGTTTTGTCGTCTTTACTGGTTGATTGTACTATGGCTATAAGCGGTTGTATATTTATAATTAATAATCAGTTGTATTTATTGTTGGTTTGGACATATGATCTCAATGGCATAATCTTGTTACAGCAGTGTATACCATGACATTTAATGCAATCTATTTTGTAGCCTAAAGTTCTTTCATTTGACATCATCTATTATGAAAAGTCAATTTTTACAGAAGTACTTTGAATTTTTGCTTCCATCCCTGCTGGAAACATAACAAACTAGCCATGCACAACACCGGACCAGAAGGCTCTGTGTGGAGCATAGAGGGGACTACAATTGCATTTTAGCATGAAATCCTGTATTGTATAACTAAAATGGTCTCTGTTCGTTGGTCTTTCGAGTTTCTCGACAACCATTCCAATCGATTTGGCCCTTGACACTTGGCTCTCCTTGTATTGCTGAGGACCCACGGAAGTGCTATCGATTGTAAGCTCTTGAGATCTACGGGACATATTCGTGGTGCGTTATGTACACACTATGTAGTGTATAAAGAGGGGACCCCTATTAACTGTTACACTGCTTGCAATAACTCACTCTCTATTGATGTTTGAGCCTTTGCACCCAAATGACACATATACTCTAGCATTACTAGGGAACCCAACGATGTCGTGGCAGGTATATTGCTCTGGACCTAAGGAAGCGCAGTGTCGAGCGTGAATTGGATGAGCTGTTTCCACGGAAGCTACAAGCAGTAACACTGGAGGCCAAGCAATCGGACCGTATTGAATGGGCATTGCGGTAGTAACAACCAAGCTGAACCTTGAACCTTTTTGTGGTGACCCCAAGGGAGTATGCAGGTTGAAAGTTTAGGTTTTAAAGGGGTTTCGTTTGAGGTTTGGAAAGCCAGACCATTCTCATTATCAACGCGTCAAAAAACGACGCTCAATCACGCCCCTTGGCGTCACTTTCTAACACACTGGGTGGAAAGTTGGTCTTTATACGACAATATCACAGTTGCGGATCATTTTCTCTGAGCATCTAATAATGACATGGATGAGTTTGCATTGAAGCTACTTGAAAGACTGATGGGTCTCATACAGAAGCTAAATGGTGTCTTGTGCATCGGTAACCGACCATAGACTGTACAATATATGGACATTGTTTAAAACTCCAGCCCCGTGCCGTTGTCATGAACGGGGATATTAGCTGTAGAGTGGTCAACATTATTATTTTAACATGGAGGTCTATGGGGATTGACTTGCTTTTGGAGCCAGCCTAATGTTGCAATTTGAGGAACTGCAGTTTTTGGCACACGTTGGTTTTATTTCTCAGCACCGGAGGTTGCTGCTTCTAACAGACGTCGAAGGGTGTATGAACGGGCGGGGACAGCAGGACCTGATTTCAGAATACATGTTTGCCTTTAAAATAATTATAAAGAAAAATTCTTGAGTGCCTGCACATGGTGTGAGAAGTTTTTGTCTCGCAAACCACCATTTAAATGACTTAACTACTTAACAAAAAACTATTTTTCTGTGTCCATATAAGATAATTAACCACAGACTTCAGTATTAAAGAGTCACGTCAGACGGATCACAATAAAATAATTTCTCAACTACTCCTCGGTTTTGTGGCAGGATTTTGAAATATGGACTCTGAAGCTGCGGCCACCCGAATACAATGGAGGTGAATTGAATTTAGTTTTTGGTCTGATCAAAGCACTAAAAATGTAATTTGAAAAAATCACACAGAAACATGTCATTCAGAAAAGAATGCCCAATCAATAATCCACAAACCTTACTGTCTGCTGTTTTCATTGTGAGGAAGAAAGTGAGGATTAAGTGAGAAAATATGTTTTTGTGATGTAGGTGAATGGACCCTTTGAGATCATTTTCTCTCAGTTGTTCTTGGTGGGTTTACAGAGATGATAAAATGCTCATTTCTCACCAGTCGGGCTCACAGGTGGTTCCAATCTTGCTTATGGTGTATCTGTTCCAGCCCAGCACCGGAGGGAAGGTCCAGACGAAGGAGAAGGTCCAGACGAACAGCAGACCCAGGATCGCATGCTTCGGTTGCAGTCGGATGTTCCCCAGGGGCCGGCAGATCACGAAGAATCGCTCGAAGGACAGAACGGCGAGGGACCACAGGGCCACGATCCCTGAAGCAAACAGCAGGAGGTCAGTGTTCAGGAGCTCAGCGGGTCACACGCCACTAAGTCCTGGAATTAGTTTTTAGTAACTATGAAAAGCTCAGCTTTTTCATTTGTTATCTGACAGGTCTGGAATCTGGAATGTCGCAATATTTGAGCACATAATTAATGTATTTGCATCTCTTTTACTTTGCACCGCTATTTCATCCCAGTGTGAAATTAGGGTAGTTTCTTTATATCTAGGCCTTTGGAACTTATCCATCGCCTGGTGTAACCACACTTCTTCATTTCTGCATCCCACATCTGTACTGTGCAGAGATATGAGCGCCGGTACAGTTGCTAGAAATAGTTTAATGATCCGGGGCGGGTGCGTTCGGCTGCCTCCTAATGGTCTCAAAAAAGCCGACTTTAATTGCAGTAATAAGTCACTCTCACAGACCGGTTAATTACCTTAGACTCAACTGGAGAGGACAAAGGAGAGAGGCGGAAACCAAGGTGTTCAATTATGTCAGGCGTGTGTTTCTTTTGAAAACCAGTCCTGTGTTTTTAACCCAGTGACATTTGATGTACTTATATGTAAAGCACAAACGCACGTGAATATAAAAAAAAACAACTAAAAATAGGCAGAAATACAAAATAATCTCACCTTGAGCAGAATGTGAAGTAGAGCTCACATACTCACTCAAGAAGAGCAAGCTCGGCTTAATTACTTTCTTAGTCCTTCACATGTACGTTAAGACTCAAATTGAAGTGGCTTTCCACCACAAACCCCTTGAAGATGGAAGCCTCACTCCACTGGCCTATGGATTTGCCTCCTCTGTACAGTCATTTAATACGTCAGGGGGTTTCTTTTAGCGCCGCGCCGGCTTCTCATCCGACAAACAAAATGTGGTTTTGTGCTTCTGTGTGCTAGAGCGCTCTACTGGCCCTGGGATGTTTGTTTTTATCCCCTGCTTAATCCTGAATAATAGTAGGAGGGTTTTCTGTCGATAATAATAAATGAGTCAGTTTGAATGACCTGTGTCTCTCCCCTGAAAGTTGTCCAAGTTGCCAAAATAGGATCGCCCAAACCTTGTTAGGAAATCCAATAAGGATACTTCGCCTGAATCGCCCAAGTATTCTCTTTTCTCTTCATTTAATATACTGCGAGCCACTCACCTCAGTCACCAGATGCCCAAGATCCCACTTTGGGATCCTCTGTATTCCCTCTGAGAGCTCTGAAGCACATCCACTGACTTAGTGAAATGTTATTGGTGGTCACGGTGCTCGTAACCTACTTATGGCAAGGCATGCACATGCAGTTTGTGAGGGGGCTCCTGGCATGGCTCTGAATTCTACCTTAAAGGCTCGCACAGGGGGGGTTTGTGACTGATCCCACAGTCTGTTTTCATGCACACGTAAAAAAGATCAGGCGGGTACATTTTTCAAAAATCTACACAGTGGGCTCATAAAAGTTACCGAGTTAGACACTACGGGGACTTTTTCGACTGTTGCCTGAACTCCATGAAGTTTCCTGTCTTTTATATTCTTGGCAATTTAGAACAAGCTTTTACTTTGCACACACACTAATATCCTTAATCCCAATCCTTGTGCTCTAGCTTTAGTTTGGCACGTTTTTTTTTTATTTTGCTTTGTGCATTATGCTGTCCATGATGCAGATTACACTTGCAGAGCTGCACTATTGGCGATGAGCTTCGAATGGTGCAAGTATACACGCTGTAATAATTTTACTAAATTAATTTAGTTGATCACACAAGAAAGTTTTCTTTTAAGACCCGTAAAGACCTTATGGGGTTTTAATATGATGTTTTTGCTGCATGCCATACATTGTGAATTTTCACTAGTGTTCTCAAAGTATCCCTTTAGTATCCAGTGTATAGCGAGTACTCTGACATAATGAGTATTTATTTGACATCAACAAACAAGATATGAGCGCTCAAAGAAAGTGAGCAAAGTGATCCTCAGACAACGTTTTTTCCATGTTGGCAGCAGTAGTAGTGGAAGTGATTTGTCACTTATATTTTTACCTCCCTCCCAGATGCCCTAAGTTATGAGCAAATGCTGAAGTTAGCTGAGGAGGATGTGCCATGTGGAGCTGTTTCACGGTCATCACACATTTTTGCAATATAAGCTCCAACACTGACACCTACAAGTTATGGAAGTTGTTTTAAGCAGCGCTGCAATTAAAGTAGGAGGGGGGGGGAGAAAAAAACAGATAAACTTACCGAAAAAAGTAACAGCAAACCCCTCCAAAACACAAGCCCACTTCCCAAGGAAGAAATAACCCCTAGCGTTTGTCAGGAAACTTATTACTCCACCGGTGAGGGAGACCAGAAAGTCAGCGATGGCCAAGTTAACTATAATATAGTTCAGGGGCTGTCTGAGTTGTTTGTACTTGAAAGTGACAAACATGACGAGGAAGTTTTCGCTCATTGACAACGAGGTGACCACAAACATGAGCACGGCCAGGATGGTGAAGTTCCACGGCGCGATGTTCCTGACGGGTGCATTAAATGGATCATCGGTGGCGGGGAGCTCAGCTGCCACCGTGTAGGACACAGCGTTCACTGACAGACTTAAAGTATCCATTGTCCATGCCCAGAGTGTCGGTTACTTGACGAACCGATTTTCTTTTCCTCCCCCTCACACTCACAACTTCACGCAGAGTCACTCCCGGACAGCCGCGCTCACGTTAAACACGCCGCGGAGCATCCCGTGCGCCCTGGCACTCTGCTCAAGACAAGACAAAGTTTTTGTGTTGAGATTCGCGTTCGCCGACGCGCATATTGGCACGCTGGAGAGAGAAATCCGCCGGAAAATGTTTGTTGAGTTGAGCCGTTTGAAAGCGTGGCTCTACGTGTGGGAGCGGAGTAGCGGCGGAGCGCACGGTGCGAGGTGCGGGTAGAGGCGAAGTCTTGAAAAAGCGCTGGCAGCGAGCGCACGACTGACCGATCGGTGGCATCTTGGAGGCTCTTATATAGGCGGCTGCGGCATCAGCGCTGCCCCCCAGGAGAGGCGACGGGACGCCACGCGTCCTCTTCATGTGCACTTGTGTTGCGCGCTGCAGGACAACAAAGTCTCCAAGCGTGCACGCACGCGCGGTCCGAAGGCGGCAGCTTATAGCAACGATCAATTCCGCTCTGCCCTTTTATGATTTAGACACCTATTGAGTCTCTGTGTTTTTGGTTTTTTTTAGTCAGTGTTGAGGAAGGGTCTGACACATTGAGATCTGATGGCTTTGCCACATAATTATGCAGCCCAGCAGGCCGATTTGTCACAGTGGACATTATTGTTTTGTATTAATCTAAATTAAGTACACGTGTTCAGCTAAAGGCATGTAAAACACCTGTGGTCAGTCAACATGGATCGATGAAATTAAGCCATCTAATCAACTTCTGCGCTGTTTTTTGTCGGTGCGGTTATGCAGGTCTTAAAACGCCTTGTCTGCCTGCTACATAATAATTACAATCAATAGCACTCTTGCAGCAGCTACATGTGCCATCAAGCGGTCAACACACCAGCTGAGCTTTGATTGTGTTAGTCGACCCCCCCACCACAATGACACACAGTGCCACCACAACCACCTGCTCACTAATCAATTAATTCGCTTTAAAAGGGACACTTCACAGGGCAAAAACTCATCATTTTAAATAATGATAATAATGTGCTCCAAGCAGATTGAGAGCAAAAGTCAGAGTCATCACTGAGCACACTCTGACAGTGAAACGAATGCATGACATTCATGCGCTGAACAGATGATCCATTGCACTTGTTTTTTTTAAGGATGCAGGGTGGCTGGCTGAGTGTATACTGCTTGGCTCTGCACACCGTGCTGCTGCGCAATGCAAGTTTGTGCAATGAGGTCACAGTCTAAAACAAAGACGGAAAACATTTGGAGATCTTTTCAAAACTGCATGAAAAGACGAGACACGCACGTGGAGACACCAGGGCGTCTGCTAAACGGTTAGCAGTTACTTTTAGGGCAATTGCACTTTGAGATCGGAGGTTTGGGCATCTGAAGCCTAATTGGTCGGCAAAAGGTTATGGGAAACACTATGAATTCACTCGGCCCTCGCATCTTTCACCACGCAAATTCACCGCTTCACTGCTGTCCGATGTAAAGTCCTTCATCCATGCCTCTTTGTGTGCAGGAAGCATGGACATTAGCACAAAGTAATGCTCCATTGTGATTTGTTCCAGGGTGAAGCTAAGCTAGCGGTGCGCCCAGCATTCCCAATCCAGGGCATCGCGGTCATCCTGGGAAACAGTTTGGTGCTAACAGTTATATATGCTAGGAAAAAGATGCACATGTACATTCCTAGGGGTACTGTACATGTGCATTAAATGTCACTGTAAATGTCAAATGAACCAACTTATATTGGAATTAGTTTAAATAAAAATAATTACTAAATAACTTGAAAACTGACAAAACTGTAGGAAGGGAGAGTTTTTTCTTTATTTCTTTTTTTTTAGCCACCTTTATCTGACACTATAAGGTCTCAACACTTTGACGTTTGCTCAGCATGCCGATGAGAGCCTCCATGTAAAGATGAGTTCCTCTCCATGACTGCAGATTGTGTGCTCTCCGTGGCGCAGATGACAACTGAGAGATGGAAACGCTGCGGGATGACAACAATACACAGACGCACATGCAAACAAACGCACACAAGAGTAGGAGTTTTACGTGAGTCAGAGAAGTTATTTCACATGGCATTCTCCAAGAAGAGAAAAGTGATCAGTGAGACCAGAGCCTTTAACCATGAATGGACAGACTGGTATATGTTAAATCTTCACACAGGCAGTTCATAAGCAGTATGTCTCATACTGTATGTTCAGAGACCGTGGCGATTATCAAAAGCGGCAATGTGAATAATCACTACGAGACAAAGCATAACTCTTTTGAGCAAACGTACCCACTCACATCCAAAATGAAGTCACAGAAAATAAACCTAAGAGCCCAACATGATCAGAATCCTAACACATTAATTAACAGAGAGGAATAGAGCAGAAACAAGTGGTTTAAAAACCACAGATATAATCCCTGCACACAAATGTCTCTTATTAGAAGATGATAAAATATAATACAATATGTTTTTTTTATTGACATCACGTCACACCTGAATGAACTGAAGATAAAGCTGCAGGGCAATTCAGTGAAATACATTTTTCTAAAATGAAGTACTTTATTTTAAGAGTCACATTGTTCAAAAGCTTTCGGTTACGTAATTTATTCTTTAATCCGCCATTATTTTACTTGAAACGAGAGAACATTTATTTATTATTAGATGATGTATTATTTATAATTCATCCAGTTCAATTTCAAATCTGACAATAAATATTGTTGAGATATTATTCAATTGAACGTTCTTTATTTGATTTGACAGTCAGTTGTTGACTACATACAGATGTTAATACAACTGTTGGCTACTTCAATATACAGTATATGGCACTAAATCATAGCGCAACTTAGACCTTATTGTGATGTTCCGGACCTTTGCACGGGAAAATTTTCTCTGACTGGACCTCGCTGAACTTTAATTGAATACTCCTGGTCTAAAACCACCATAAGGCTTTAGCCATTATTTACCTTCTCTTGCTTTGGGAGCATGTTACACCGTACTACTGTACTAAAGTTACAAATGAGTTCATCATAACTTTTGTTCTCTGTTGACCTTTAGAAGCAAAGCACTTTGAGATGCCTTGCATCATAAAACACTTTGAATTTTTCCTAAATTCTAAATTACAATAATTAATCATAAATCACGATAAATATATATATATTTTTTTTATTAGGCCACATCACTATTTTCTCAAAGCTGACACAGACAACTTACTGTGGGACAAAACCGGAAAAACTAGCGGAAACCCCAAAAGTGTATGTATTTTTATGAAAGAATGTAAATTAGTCTTAACATCTGAAGAAGGAATTCACTTCCCCTTTCAGTGATAGACCAATTAACATAACCTATTTATTTTTTGAGGGAAACCGAAGAACCCGGAGAAAACTAATTCAGGGGATCAACTCACAGGCTATGAGATCAGAATGTCATGGAAAAGAATGTCATGGCTCAACTGGTAGATCACATGTACACCAAGTACATGTGATCTACCAGGTGATCTACCTCTGATTCTAAGTCCCAGCGCATGCGTGTGTTAGGTCCATAACTTTTGAACACAGGGAGAAATTGCCCCCTTACTGCAGCCATGTGCTCTCAATCAACTCCAAAACACAACAGCAGGTTTAAGTCATAATCAAATGGATGTATTATCCATACAAACATAAAAACAGTTACAAACCGAATCACACTATTAATAACAAAACAAACATATAAATTCCATGAAATGGAGGCCCTGTCCGCACCACACGACATATTGGTGTATCTGCCCCATGGTACCGAGGAGGTCTGAATCTCTCCTGGATTCACATCTCCTTTTTCCCCCAAAGTCCCTGAAAAGTCTCACATTACATATCGATCAGCTCAATGATTGGCTGAAGCCCAACAAGCCCCTCCTGGGCCGTTGATCCATTGTTTTGATCTTCACACCTCACCTAGCCACTTTCACACAACCCCCCCTCCAGCACATTCCTCAACCCTGATCACACAGATACTCAAACACACTACTTGGTTCAAACTCCTACAAGTAAATACACTGTATCACATAATATTCATAATTAGGAGCTTTAAAACTTAAATTTCTCACACGTGTTCCAGCAGTAAACACACACACACGTATTTTACATGAACTACAGACAGAATGTACTCTGCTCTCATTACGATGTCCTGGGAGCTTCTTGTTGACAGCACACAGTCTATAGTTCCATATTGATGACATTTTATAGAAAACATTAAATGCGTTGAAATCACGTCTTCATGTAAACTATTTTTCACCGGCCAGCGTAATATGATTTTGGAGAAATACATTCAAGTAAACAAAATCGTGTCTCTTTCAACCTACAACTGAACAAACCATCAATATTTTAAAACAAATTGCTGTTTTGTGACACGTTGATATTGTAACCGTAATTTAGCCGGTTGAAAATACGGTGAAAATAGTTCAGACCCCATTTCAACCTGTTTTAAACCAGAAATCAACATTTGAAATCCGGGTTAGTGCTCACTGGGTCACTCCAGAGCATCTGCAGTAAGTTTTTTAGTTGTTTAGGGGAATTTCCAAGCCTTGCACTTGTCAGGTACAGCTGTCCAAACATCTTTTTCCCGAGAAAGGAAAATATAGTGCTACTGGAAAAGTGCGTATCTTACTGAGGAGACGTATTGTCAATAACTCCAGTGACCTGTAAAAGAGGTTGTGGCCCTGAGAGCTTTTTTACTAGCTCAAAGGTTGGAAGAAATGGTTCCTGGCTGAATTTAATAGTGTTGGGGTGATCATACTGCAGGAATGGTGCATGGTCCAGCTGCTATACTGACATTAAACTGGTTTCGACAATAACTCAATAATTGCACTTTGCACTTAGGTCTGTCATGATATTAGGTTTTTTATTTCAAGATTATGGTGGCCAAAAGAATTTGGGAACGATATTTTATCAATGTCTACAGAAAAATAAAAAAATGCTATCAGTCAAATGAATCCTTAACTTCGGTTATTGGGTGTTTTGTCTCGTTTAAATGAATTACACTGAAAGTGTAGGGAGGTGGACAGAGTCTGTAACAATAACTGTTCAAAAGTGTACAAAAAGAACAATTACACTAATAGATAGTGAAAAGGCAACCAGATGAACTGATAACATTTGCTATCAATACAATCTCAAAGTTAACTGTTATAAAATCACTAAGAGAGGCTGGATTACTTCCGCAATATGGTCATATGTGTATGATTAACATGGTATCAATATTACACTTTTTGAATATCACGGTTATCGTCAAACCCCAAACCCTAATTTAGAGCCAAAAATTGAAGGTCAAGTCCAAC